TCGACTGGTCGCGTCCGGGCTGGGGCCGCCCCGCCCGCCGTCGCAGCACGTGGACGCCGAGGGGCCAACTGTGAGCTTTCCCTGGAAAAAGGCTCCTCGCGGCGCGGAAGCCCCAGCGGGCGGGCGGGCGCGTGCAGTCGGCGTCCTGTACGGTGGCCGCTGGTCGAAAGGGCCCTTTCGGTCCCTTCCCCGCTCCAGCCGTGTTAAAAAAATAACACAGAGTCCTTTTACAAACTGTCGGATCTGGCAAGAGCCTAAAATGTGGTTTATCGAACAGTTTTATGGCCGACAGCTAAGAGATCATTCTCCCCATTTTCCAGAGGAGGAGATTGAGGTCCTTGTGTGCGGTGACCTTCCTAGCGTGGAGTAGAACCCAGACCCCCCCATCCCAATCTCCCATTTTACAGGTGAGAAAAGGGAGGCCCTGGAGGTCAGAATCGCCCCCGGCCACTTAAATGCGAGTCAGGATCCGAGCCCCACCTGCCTGACCAGGGAGGCTCCCGCTCCCTGGGTCCTCAGCCGTCCTGCTCGAGTGCGCCCCTTGCTGCCCCAAGGTCAGAGCTCGCCGGGGCTTCTCATCGGCTGCCTCTTCCTAGCAAGTGTCTTGACACCTCTAGAGCCGGTTTCTCCATTTGTAACATGAGCCTGTGGTGGTGATTATGCACTCAGCTCCAGGACTTCCCGCGGTGCCGGGCTTGGCCGACCTGGCTGCTTGGCGACCTGGCTGCATGCTGTAGGCATTTTATGACGACAACGATGATGGCGGTCACCATCATACCATCGTTACCTTACTGTGTTGTTTCTATTGGTTGCTGGCCAGGACGTGCCGCACAGAAGGTTCCTGGGTTCTGGTCCCATCTCTGCCTCCCATATGCAGCCACGTGTAAACTTTTTTTTTTTTTTTGAGTTGGAGTCTTACTCTGTTGCCCAGGCTGGAGTGCAGTGGCACGCTCACGGCCACTGCAGCCTACACCTGCTGGGCTCAGGCGATCCTTCCTTAGCCTCCCAAGTAGCTGGAACCACAGGCACTCACCGCCAACCACGCCCAGCTAACTTTTTGATTTATTGTAGAGCCGAGGTCTTGTCAAGTTGCCCAGGCTGGTCTCGAACCCCTGAGTTCAAGCAGTCCTCTCTCCTCCACCTCCCAAAGCGCTGGGATGACCAGCATGAGCCACTGCGCCCGGCTAAAAGGAACTTCTTACGTCATAGCGAAGGTCACAAGAGCACTGTAGCACAGCCAGGAGTCACCTCTGAGCCTCAGTTTCCCCAACGGTAGCATGAGGGGCTTGAACTCCATGTCTGGTTTCCCTCTTGTGATGATCTTAAATGGGACGGACGCTTTTTGAGATTTGTCAACTCACCTTATGTGAAAATAAGTCTTGTGTCTCCTGTCCTGCCTGACTTGGACTCTTAGCTAAAATTATGTCCGTGGAAGTTACAGGAAGCGTTAAGAAACGGTTCTGTGGCCCCTGACAGCAGCCCAAAGCTGAGTGGATCTGGGTCCCTGCCTTCTCCCACATGTAGGTGCTTTTAGAAAACAAGGGGGCCTCCCTGCCGTGACCAAAGCCCCGTGTGGGACAGGTCATCCATGGGCACTGAAGCCCCCTAGACCTGGTGAAAGCGTTCCCCAAGAGGTCCGTGATGACTGAAGGGTTGGGGAGGAGTCTTGGGCTGTTCATGGAACCCCAGCTAGACAGGCCCATCCAGAGGAGCAAGCCTGGAGACCCGAAGAGGAGATGGCTGCTTAGCCAGGCCCCAGAGGCAGCCTGGCCCTCAGCAGCCCCCTCTTGGAAAGACAGAAGCTCCTCCTTTCGACGGTAAAAGTGGGGAGACAGCACCGGCCGTGGGGTGGCTGGCTGATGGTCAGGCCCATACCCAATACCCCAGGAGCAGTTTGTTATGAGGCTGAGTTCTTCTGGGGTGAGCCCTGGGCGGGGGCAGTGAACCCTCCTGCTTGCACCCCAGGGCCTAGGAAGACATCTCTGGAGTGAAGAGGCCTCAGGGACCCATCCATTGGCCGGGCCCCAGCAGCGCCTCCGAGGCCAGGGCTGGCATGTCCCCATCCAAAGTGGCCTCCCAGAAAGATGCAGGACCCAGAGCTGCAGAACCGTGAGAAGTCCAAATCCCGGCCCATGGCTACATGCACAGGCTGATCTTTGATTAGATTCCAGGCCCTGAGTTCGGGGTGGTAGACTCGACTGTATCCATGTGGAAGGCCTTGAGTGTGATGACCACATGTGGTTTGTAGGAAAATACCTTTGTTCTTAGGAAAGACCCTGCAGTGTTTCAGGTGAATGGAGTGTTACTATGTCTGCAACAGAGTCGAGTCTCAAATGGCTCAGCAGAGAGGGAGATGAGCCTGGGCCACACAGTGAGACCCCCGTCTCTGCAAAACTTTAAAAAAAAATTAGCTGGTGTGGCGGCATGGGCCTGTAGTTCCAGCTACTCGGGAGGCTGAGGCAGGAGGATCACCTGAGCCCACGAGGTCAAGGCTGCAGTGAGCTGTGATCGTGCCACTGATTCCAGTCTGGGCAACAGAGAGAGGTAAAAAGGGAGAGAGAGAGAGGGAGAGGGCCAGTGTAGCAAAACGCTAACAACTGTTGAGTCAAGGGGAGGGAGTATGGGCACTTGTTGTACCCTTCTTGCGACTTTTCTGAAGTTTTTAGAAGAAAAGGTCGGTGGGGAAAGAGATCCCCCTTAATATATATGTATTACTTGCAGAATCAGAAAAAGCTGTCTTTGTTTTGAAGATTTAACTATCTATCTATATAGATAATCTATCTATCTATCTATCTATCTATCTATCTACACATATATATCTCAAAGCTGGGGCCAGCCCAGCTGCAGAAAGTCCTTCCTGCCTCCCCACCTGAATGGCCTGAGAAGGTGGGTTGGGTGTTTCTGGACACCCAAGGCTTCATGGGGGGACCCTGCGTGTGGCCCGAGGAGGCGGCCGCCCCCCCCAGGGGAGGGGTCCTGGCTAAGCCTTTCCAGAATGGCCTCCCAGAGATCTGCCCTGCCAGGGGAGTGTGGGTCCATGTGCCTCTGTGAAAGGCAGTTTGTGGCCATAACTATAAAAATTCGAAATGGGCTGGGCACTGTAGCTCA